AAGGGCCCACAATGTCAGCCCCGCCTCCAGCGCCTTGATCAGCTCGATACGCGAGCGGTAGTGGCGGGCGGGCTCGGCGAGGCGGAAGGCGTAGTAGTCGCCCGCAAAAGTGGCCTGAGTAGCCCGCGGCCTCCAGTGCACCGCCTGCAGAGAGGAAGAGAGGTGAGAGCCCAAAGTACCGACCGCCTCCCCGCAGCTCGTCTTCACCCACTGGCCATCGACGTGCACCGTCGCCTCAGGCGAGCCCTCGTCCTTCAAGCGCGCCGCCACCGCCAGCAGCTTTGCGAGAAGCGCCGCCTCCGCCGCCCCAAGCTCCGGCGACTGCAGCCTGCCCTGCGACCCGAGCGCGGCAGCCGCTTCGACGTCCGGGTCGAACGGGCGCTCCTCGCAGCGAGCCCGCTTGGCCGGCAGCGTGAAGTCGTGCGGCCCGCCGTGGCCTGCCGGCAGAATGCAGCCAAAGGCCCCGCAGTTGCACTCGTGCGTGTTGCCGCAGAGCAGGACCGCGGCCTCGGCGGGCGCGTGGGGCGGCGCGCTCTCGGCGGCGGCGGCGGCGGAGGAGGAGGAGGAGGAGGAGAGGGAGGCCGAGGACGGAGGGCCACGCGCCGCATCCGAGCGCCGCTTTGGCGGCGGCCCTTCGAACGGCTCAAGCGGGCGCTTCGCCATGCGGAGCCGCTCCTGAAGCCCTGGCCAGAGCTCGTGCCTCCACTTGCACTTGCCGCCCTTGTGGCAGAGGCCCTGTTGGTACTGGCCGCAGAGCCCGGCAGGCAGCCCGACAAGCTTAGCGTCGGTGAGCCGGCGTGTAGGGACGCTTGGGGGCGCAACAGCCGAGCGGTGCTTTGGCGGCGGCCCTTCCGGCGGCTCGTATGGACGCTTCGCCGTGCGGACCCGGTCCGCCGCCCCCGCCGCCCCCTCCGCCCCCTCCGCCCCCGCCGCCTCCGCCGCCTCCGCCGCCACGACGTCGCCGTCTGCCGCCTCGGCCTCCTCATCCGTAGCCTCCCCCTCCGTAGCCTCCTCATCCACCTCCGCGTCCACCCAGTAGGCTTCGCCCGCCGCCTCGTCCTCCTCGTCCATCGGCTCCGCCACCGCCTCTGCCGCTCCCGCACCCTCCTCCAAGCCATCCTCCGCCGCGTCCGCCGCCACCGAATCCTCCTCCCACTCATCCTCCGGCGCCTCGCACTGCCGGCGAGCCGGGTCCGGGTGCATCCAGCAGAACCACTTGGCAGGGAGCGGGCCCGGCGTCTCGGCGGGCAGCCGCCGCCACCTGTCGCACCGGTCGCAGGCGACCCACAAGCAGCGGGCCTCGCCCTCCTCGCCCTCGCCCTCGCCCTCGTCCGAGTCGAGCGCCTCGCTGCCGGCCGCAGCCGACCCCTGGACAGGAGCCTGCCCGACCCCCCACGCGTACGCCACCGCCGCCTCCACCGCCGTGTCGAAGGTGCCGAGGGAGACAGTCTTTCCGTCCACCCTGCCTCGCCTTCCGTCCACCCTGTCTCGCGCCTTGAAGCGCGAGCCATCCTTGTACACGCCCTTGTAGCCGGTGTTGTTGCTGCGGCTGGAGAGGTGCAAGCGCAAGCCCTCCGCCTCAGCCGCGAGCGGTGCCCGCCGTGGCGGCGCTGTAGGCACAAGCCCCACCTGGACTGCTGCGGAAGGCCCGCCGGAGGACGACCGCAGCTTCGCCTTGGCGACCGCCACCGCCGCCTTCACCGCGGTGGGGAAGACGCCGAGGTACGTCAGCCGCATGCGATGCCCGTCGTGCAGGCTCACCTGCGCGACAAACTTGAGTCTGCCGCAATCCTCGCGGCGGAAGACACCCAGGTAGCCCGTGGAGCTCTTGCCGTCAGTCTTGAGCTTCCTCGGCCCCCCGCCTCTTGAGGACAGGTGCAGCCGGTAGCCCTCGGACTCCGTCACCAGCCCAGCCGCCGCCTCGCCCTCCTCCCCGCCCTCCGCCTCCGCCCCAGCCATGCCCTCCTGCCCCACGACGCTGGCGGCTGACGCGAGGCCCGCCTGCGACTCCGTCGGCGCCACCACCGTGCCTACTGTTGCCGCTTGGGCTGGCCCGCTCGCCGGCGCTGCCGGCCCGGCCGGCGCCGCCGCCTCCTCAGCGACCGCCCGCGCGTACGCCACCGCCGCCTCCACCGCCGTGTCGAAAGTGCCGAGGGCGACGCGACTCTTGCCCACCCTGCGCTTGCCTCGAATCGGT